TGTTCAGATCCATCCTCCTAGAAAATTAATTGAGTTCTTGTGACTGCTCTGATGCAAACTGTGTCTGTCTTGAGACCTTTTTTTTCTCTCTCTATGTTTGTGTATATCCCAACACTGTTCGAATTGGCTGAGTCTTGGATCACATCTTCTGGTCTTGGGTTTGATGTATGATATTTGATCATGATTCACATAACTCTCTGATTTTTTTGTCTGTCCTTTCTAGTGTTGAACTATCTATCTCACATCGCTCTTTGCTAAAATCAGTTAGCATCCCTTCTGGAACTTGCCTATACCTTTACCTTTTCCTGCCTTCCCACCCAACTCCTTTGACTGTTGCTATCCAGGCCACATTTTCTTTAAACTCTTTCAACTTTTCCTGAGGCAGAAGCCACATTGAGCTCTTTAGAGATATAATTTCTCAGCTGTATGTGATGCTGTCAAAAAAATTCTTAACTCTCTTCACATGTAATCCTAAATACTCATATATGAAATTCTAATATTACAAAAGTAATTTTTAAAAAGAATGGTTTTGCTTTGAAACTTCATAGGCATATATATGTATTGCCAAAAGAATTTCAACGCTTGCTCTTAGACCCAGGATTATAATACTGTCACTTGCAAAATGCCTACCTCTTTTGTATGTGCCCTTTGATTTTCCTTGCAACATGTCTGAAACTGATCTTTTTAGTTTGTAGTCCAAACTAGTACATTTTTTTTACTTTCCCATGTGTATCAGTACTCCATAACTTATTTTTAGAAATTATAAAAGCCAGTTGTTCAAATTTTCTCTCCTCTTGTGCAGAGAACCAAGACATCAACTCATCAATGTTTTTGCTTTTTCATTGTATCTCTGAGATCCAACTGTCCTTCATCCATGCTTTGTCCTAGTATGCCATTACCACACTCCCTTTCAGTACAACAGCCCTTCCTTTCTCCTGGAGGCTCAAGTAACAAGCCATCCTGTATTCCAAAGATAAGTCACTTTGCTTGAGACACTGTAAAAATAGATGAATAAGGCTGACCAAATAGCTCAGTGGATTAAAGTGCCTGCAAGCAGTCGAATCTACATACTAAGACCCTGTCCTAAATTCATAAAAAAAAGGAAGAAGAAATTGATTATTAAAGTGAACTTACACTGTTGGGACCATTTCTTTGAGCATCTCACAAATTCAGCCTTCTGGATTTTTGGAGGAAAGTACAACACCCTGATTACAGCACTGTTAAGTTTTTCTGTATCAGGAACTTTCAATATAGGTTTTGACACAGACAAGTTGGATTTTCAAAATGGAGAGTTTCTTTTTCTTTTCTTTTTTTTTGGGGGGGGGGCAGACCAGGGATGGAACTCAGACCCTGCGCTTGCAGGGAAGCACTTACTACACTGAGCCATCTCCCCAGCTCTGAAAGCTTCATTAATATAACTTTAAAATCAACACTTTTATAGAGCACAATGGCCAGGAAATAGTGCATTTGTGTTCCAGAATTATCCTCTTTACATTTTAGAAGTGGCTAGAACAGTTTCTGCAACAACTAACTGTATAATTGCTGCGGAAGATCATTGGAAGTCACTTATTAGTAGGGCTTGCTGCTTTATTAATAAAGTTATGTGTCCCTTTGGAGGTGCAGGCAAGTGTTAAAATGTACCTTATAGAGAACAGTGCTGAATACAAGTGATACTTAATATCTAAAGCCATTTTGATCCAGGAAGTACTTAAGTGTCAAAGCCACTTGGAACGTATTAAGCTTTTCCACAAACAAAGATTATGATATGAAAGCTGCTTTTGAAAAGTAAGCACCCATTCCATGTTCATAAATGAACTTAAAATAACAAATTGAAGGAAACAGTTGTTCAATTTTTAGGACAGCCAGTTAACTGCATATATTTTAATGTTAGTTTGCTCACCAGTGATCTGAGATCATGCTGAGATGAGAAAAACGTCCCCAAACTAAAATTTAATATATTGTGAAAAAACAATCTAAAAATAATAATTCCAGCTACAGTCTTTAGATCATATTTGTAATGTCTTATGGGTCCACTTTTCCTGGAATAGCTTAACCTGAGGAAGTATCCCCTGTGTTGGAAATTTTGTAGTTAGTTTTAATATGGGCCGTTGTCTGGAAAGAGCTGGGCTGTCTATGCAGATGTGAAGTATCTGGTTTTTCCACAAAACAGATGTTCGTTTTACATTAAAAACGCCACTGTACTTGTTTTGCACCATTTGTGTACACATGGTGGTGTCAATGCTGAGCCATAAGACGTAGGGACTGAAACGTGACCCTAATGAACAAATAGTCACACAGGCCTCAACAGGATATTAACATTTTCTTTTGGGGGAAAGTCCTCGTAGTTCTGTTAAAGTGGGTGCAGTCTGGCCAGAACTATCTCTCTCTTTTGTTTTCTTCACAATTTAAGGTATCGCTTTCTTCTGTGCTTTGCGCGTGCAGCCTTCCAGGGCCCGCACCCCTTGCTCGAATCTCTTACTGTCTTTTTTTTTTTTTTTTTTTTGAAGTCTTTCTTTTTTTATTTATATCTTGGTATTTAGTTTTTTCCCCATAATTTATTGAGAAACAAATAGCAATGAGATAATTTCAAATCAAATTGGTAGGACAGTTTCAATAATTAACACATTGCATAGATTCTTCCTAGTGGTTAATTGCTGTACAAGATGCAGACGTGATATCCTATTTACAAACACCATTACAACAAATCCCTCTATCCATGAAGAGAATGCAACTATATATCTATCCTAACCACTTTGAATACACAGATACAAAATGGACATTCATCTGTATCCCCCTTTTTTTTTTTGTTAAGTTCCATTATCTTAGTCTTTACGCACATGTGCTTGTCATTCTGTCGAAGCATGAAGCAATTCAGTGTTACATAATTTATATTTAATATGAAAGTTTCTTTATTTTATACCACTTTAAATATGACATCTTTAGCAAACCAAAGCACATTTATTAAATTTTAATGTTGATCAATACATACGTATGGTTGATAACTATTAAAAATTAAGATTGAGATGAGTCATTGTTTGAGGTTCATTTTGCATGTGGCCCTAAGCCAATGCTCGAACACCTTATAAGGAACCAGCAGGCAGAGTTTCTTCTTCATCCCGGAATCATACCTTCACTTGCTAGCTCTTACTGATCAAGGTGTTGATTGCTCAACTTAAATGTGGATCATAAATGTCATAATATTTTTTCCACAAATTCTGATTTCAGATAGTTTTAATATGTGTTTCAAAATTATGTGAGTAATAGGTTTGCATATTGCCTGAAGAAGCGTATTTGCCACTTTATTTTGGAATTGTTCGACTCTCTTTTATTCAGTGCTGGGAACTGATCATTTTTTTTTCTTATTTTCTAATTTCAAAGTCATTTGCCTCATATTTCTTTATGTGTGGATATCTACAGTTATTTTTAGGTGCTAGGAATAGTGCTTTGCTCATAATTAGCTTATGTCATTTTTGTCACTTAATTTAAGCTATATTTGAACTTCATCTTGTGGAGCCTTAACGATATGACATAAACTAATAATATATTTCTCAAATTAATTTCCTTACACAGTACAAAGTAAGGGGAGAAGATTGATGATTTAAAATTTAACAATAAGAATAAGAAGATAATGTTTAAATTTCTTAATTTAAATACCTTCAAGGTTATAGTAAGATCTCTTACAGGGGTCAGAGTGTAGTTTGGTGTTAAGAGTCAGTGCTGACTAAGCTATTAAAAATAAACTTGAAAGAATATAGTTGGGTGGCCATTTAATTAAATTATTAACTAAATGGAGTAAATCATTAAGCAAGTGAAGATGAGTAAAATTCTCTTTAAAGCCAGATTTTACACACACACACACACACACACACACACACACACACACACACACTTAAAGGAACCCATATATATTTAGTGAACTACTTTTTCCTTAGCATATTCAATTTTCATTTTCACTTTTAAATTCTAAGATTGGTGAACTCATCTAGAAGTTAGTACTCAGAAATAACTTATTTATGAGCTATCTCAAAACTCGAAGACTTCCTGGAGTAAGTTGTGAATTAGGTAGCACAATTTAAATGTTGAAATCTTTACTCTCTGGAAGGTTACTCATTAAGTCTCAACTATTTATGGACTATTTAGTCCTTGCTAACCCTTGCAACTTCTTCTTCTTTTCTTCCACCAATGAAGACAAACATCTAGGAAGGCTGAGAATAGCATGTTTGTTAGGAAGTTCGAACTGTCCCTTTAAAGTAGCTTTTCTTAAAGCAAATATCACAGAGGAGCACCTTGTCTCTAGTTTACTTTTAACTGAACCGATCTCTTTTATTAGAATGAATACTAATGTGCCATCATGCAAGAACTGGAAGTCTTATGACCTTATCTGTTTTCACTATCTAATGGAAATGGATTATTAATACTTAATGCTTCTGCTTTACATTCATTATTCTAAATTCACATGTACATTGACAAGTGTTGTAAATCGATGTAAAAATGTCTTTCTTTTGTTATGTCTTGGTCTCTTGGATTTTTTTCAGCAAGCAATATGCACAGAGGATAGAGAAGCAGATAGAGAACCAGCTGTTCTAGTAGACTAGAAATAAGTGATGTTAAATGGCAAGATAATATTCTATTGAATTTACTTAAAAAGTTTATTGGAGACAAATTGTGGTCGCAGTCCTGTAGAAGGCATAAGAAAGCTGCATCTTATCATTTTCATATGTGGCACTCCAATTTGCTCCAACCACTGTTAAAACAGACTTCACTGGTTTTTATGGAAAGTAGTTAGGGTCTGTTGCAAGCCATTGATCTTTGTTTCAGTTGTGCTCAAATCAGCTACCTCTATTTCAAAGGATCTTAATGGGAGTATTTAATTTCCTGATCTCTGTTGAGATTTTTGTCAAGATCTTCATTTACGTGACACCGACTTTGACCGTGTTATTTTGCATGTTCTGTTTTAGCCACGAACAGCCTGTGATATTGTCCTATCTGCTGTATTGCAGGAAAAGCAGAGGTTTCTGACAGATGTTCTACATGAAGTGATGCTGCTGGACGGATTGGCCAGCTCCCACCCAGTGTCCCAGGAAGTGCTACAAGCAACAGACATCGACAGGGTCTTTGACTGGATTGCATACAAAAAGGTGGGACTAGATTAGTAAGACCAAGTGCCAACTGGATATTTTACCATTGATGGAATCAGATTGATTCATGATAGAAGTATTGTTTTCCTTTTCCTCGTGGTGAATGGAAATGGATTGTGAATTACGAAACAGTCACTCAGGTCATGTTTTCTGAGTTAGACTTTGTGTTATTAATCAGTGAAATGGAGATGCATGTTTCCCAAATATTGCATAGAAATATTGAAGGTATTAATGAATAAGTGTTTAGAGATGATATAAAATTGCTATACAGATGGTGTTATGTAAATGTCAGTTATATTCTTATTAATAGGTAAATCGACCTATCTAGAGACAAATTATTTTCACCAATGCCCTTAAATACTGATATATTTTGATTGGCTAATGATAATGTATATGGACAGTGTTATGACACATGAAGTTTATAACTATTACATAAGGAAAATTTTGAAAATTAAGCATGTGTCTTGGATAACAAAATTTTAAAGAAGTCTTTCAGTGACTCAGAATAATTTAGAAAAATGACTACATATAAAATAAATGTGCTGATTTTTTTCCATTGTTACCTGAACTAGGGTTTTTCCCTGTATCTTTGTCCATTAGTTGATTCTGATTTTAACATGAAAATTTGCTTCTTAGTGATTATAGTTACTAGTCACTTAATAATTAAAATATGATTAAAGTCTACTGTCATATTTAGTGTGCATTCAATTAATTTTTTTTGAAATTCTGTTATTTTTATTGATTCAATAATGTCAGGTATTTTGGAAAATCATTAACATTAATTTTTCTATGAAATATGTTTGCACTTGATAAATACAAATCACAGAATAATGCACAAGTCCGTGATATGATAATTTGAATATTGGGCTTTATACTGAGATAATAACTATCTCAATGATTATTCATTAGTAAGGTAGTTTATAATATGCAAAGAAACAAACAGTTACTAACAGATTTCCTTTCAAGTAAATGATAATTGTATTGGCTCACAGAGGCTACTTTTGATGTCTTATAAGAATAATTTGTTTCCAAGATTTAGCTTTTACAAACTGTGCCGCTATACACATGGGTACACATACTGTGGTGTGATAAAAAGATGTGGTATTTTTATATAATGGTGCACTATTCTGCCACAAAGAAGGATACACTTGAGACATGTGTTGCTAAGTGGATGGACCTTGAGATCATACTCTAAAGTGAAATAAATCAAACACACATGTATAAATATTGCCTTATCTCACTGGTGTGAAAAACAAAGTATAAATAAGAACTTAATTGTATAAAAGATATGGTGAAATGGGAAGTGATTGCTTAAGAGGAAAGGGGAGCGAACTACGGAGGGGGAAATGAAGGAAGTGAAAATAACAAATGAGAAATGAAGGATAAAATGGAAACAAAGACTTTGTAAATAAGAAGGGGAAGAGGCATTGAGGGAGGGCACATGAACAAGGGCAAAAGACACATCAAGGTAGATCGCCCACAGGTACAAATTCCCTTATGAAGAATGTGATCGTTATATGTGCCAAAATTGCTCTAATAAACCTAATTAAATTAAAAATGAAAAAAATAAATGAGAGTTTGGGGTTCATGGCATATTTACTTATGTATATTAATGAATGGACAAGTTTTTTTTAATATGATGGAGTGGGCTGGGTATATAGCTCAGTGGCACAGCCTGCCAAGCACAAAATCCTGAGTTCAATTCCAGGTACCAAAAAAAGAAAAGAGAAAAAAAATATGATGGAGTACAACTCAGCCATAAAGAAAGATAAACTTGAACTGTTTACTAATAAATAATGAACCTTGAGACTATCGCATATTTAATAGCGACTTGGACTTTCATATATTAAGGGTTTGGGCTGTTTCATTGAATATAAATTCAGTTTAAATATAATACAATGCAGAAAATAATGAGTTAATATATCTTGAAATAGGTTTAGAAATACATCTATAGTTGCTTTTCCTTATTCTCAATTCTAGAAGACTATAATTTCCAGTTTTATTTTAGCATGCATAAAGTCTGGAAAACAGATCGATTGAATATGTTATGAGTGTACTTTTACATACAATATCCATCCCAAATGCTAAAGATTCAAAGAATTTCAAATTTTTTCAAGAGGGTTGAGATTTCAGACATTAAGAAAGACTAAAAATAGAGTGCTTATTGGTTTACATTCTCTACATTTTATTTAAAGTCTTGGCAAATTACAAATGTAGAGAGTGAGCAAAGTATGCTACCACTCCGAGAATGCCTGTTCTAAGTGGTTCTGACCGAGTTGCCTTTACCCTTACTTTTTGTTTTTTTGGTGGAACTGGGGATTAAACTCAGGCCCTTGTGCTTGCCAGGCAAGCACTTATTCTACTGAGCCATCTTCCCAGCCCCTCTTACCCTTACATTTTATGATTTAAATACCACTTGACGCAGTTCTTGCTGTGTGGTTTCAGTTGGTGAGAGAATCCACCTATTTCCAATGAACATTTCTCAAGAAAAAGCAATTTACATTTTCTTTCTTTAATAGCTGCATTGATGTATGATTGAAACTCAATAAGCTGCATACTGGCATGTTTAAACAGTAGAATTTCTTATAATCTGACATGCATACACAGTGAAAGCACAATAATCAAGTTGAAAATCAACAAGCACTGAGAGAAGTTGTCTAATGTTCCTCTTTAATACTCTTTCCTATCTCTCTTTCATTAATCATGTTTTAACCTGTGGATTAGTTTGCATTTTCTAGAGTTTTATGTAAATGGATTCATATAATGTATCCTGTTTCTTCTTTGCCTTTTTTTCAGTCAGTATAAGTTTTTCAAGATACATGTAGTAGAAGAATATACAATTGTGAAGCTTATTTTTTTCATTCATTCATCTCGACATTGGTGTTGTGTTCAGTTTGAGGCTAGTGCTCATATTACTGCTTTGAATGTTCCTGTATCAGTGTCTGCATGTACGCTTGCTTTTGTTCCTTGAGGGTAAATACTTCAAGAATAGAATATCCAGGTTGCATCTTATATATGTTTAATATTTTAAGACACTACTAAACTGCTTTCCAAATATTAAATTTTAATATTTTGCATTGTATTGAACATTCCTACCAGTAGTGCATGAGACTTTTAGTGTCCGCTCTTCTTCACCAAGATCAATTATGTTTAATGAAGTCTATTAATTTTAGATGCTTAAGTGGTATCTCACTATGGTTGGAAATTGCATTTCTGTAATGATGAAGGAAACTGGAATTGCTTTCTTTGTACATTTCTCCTTGTATTTATTCCTTGGAGAAGATCAGATCAAATCCTTTGCAGTTTAAAAAATTAGCTTTATTTCTATTAGTTATTTTTGAGAGGTTTTTCCCAAGTATTATGAATACAGATCCTTATTCGTTATATGATTTTTTCTTAGCTTCTTTTTTATTATATTATCTTTAGTTTTTTTAAAGAGAATAAGAAATGGTAAAAAAAGAAATGATAAATTTTGCTTTGTTAAACAAAAAGACAGAGATTCAAAAATGGCTTATTATATTGCATATTACTGTCTTCAAATTAATTGTTCAGATCACCAGATATATATGCATGCAAAGGGCTGGCCAAAGTGTTCAGCAGATTAAAGTGCTTGCAGGCAGGCGCAGAGGCTAGGATTTCGATCCCCAGGCCTGCCATAGTAAGCGTGCAAAATTGGTCAAAATTTTTTTAAAAAGAGAGGAAAAATTAAGCATTAACTGCCTCTTTAAGAGACCAGCAGAAATCAGTGGCACAATTATCCAAGCCATCTTGTGCATGTACAAATGTATTTCTTCTTCTTTTCCTTCTTCCTTCCTTTTCCCTTTCCCTCATCCCAGGTGTTCTTTTCCTTTGAACAGTTTCTTTCCCTTTTGCAGCATCCATTGTTCCTTTCAGACTTTGTTTACTCCTTGAGATTCGATTTTCAAATGGCTTTATTTTCCCAATTTGTAATGTGGCTTTTGTTGTCATAACAATGTCTCCATAAGAAAAAGATTTTAGTTTTGATGGTATCCTCTTCATAGTAAAGCTCTTTGATCAATAGTCTAGCTTGACTTTGCATAACTCAAGCATAAGGTTTTCTTTTGATTTTTCTTTTAGAAGCTTCATAGTTTAGGTTTATGTTTAGACCCATGATTGATTTGGAATAAGAACTGTATTGGTGTAAATTTACATTACTTTTTCTTTTTCTCTTCCATTATTTTTGACTGCACAATTATTCAAAGGAAGCTTGTTGAAGTCTATTATTTTTTCGTTGAATTGTCTTTTGATTTTTTAAAAACTTTGATGTATCGATGAAAGTTTATTTCCAGAATTTTTATTCTCTCTGTTAAAATATTTGCCTATTTTGGTTCCAATTCCACAGAGTCCTTATGGCTGTAACTTTATAGTAAGTTGTGAGATAAAGTTATGTTAGACCTCCAACTTTGTATTTTCTTTCCTTTCTTTTTCTTTTATTTTCAGCTATTGGGACAGGGTCTTGCCCTATAATTCAAAGGGCCTTGAACTTATGGCGATCCTCCTGCTTCAGCCAACCAAATGCTGGCGTTGTAGGAAAATGGCTAAACTACAGTGATCAACTACTTTCTTTGGCAATTATTTTATTATTCTTAGACTTTTGTATTTCTTCAAGAGTGAATCTGTCTATGTATACAAACATTATGTTGGAATTGCAGGGATTTTGTTGGCTGTATAAGAGAATTTGGAAGAAATAAATCTTAATATTGATTGAAATGTGGATAAAGAATTCCTCTCTATTCCTTTAGGTCCTTTTTATTTTCTCTTAGAAATGTAGATTTTATGCTTTTTTTTACCCAGATATATTCTAAGTACTTTATGTCTTAGGCTATTGTAGATGGTGTTACTTTCCAATTTTTATTTCTGATTTCTTGCTTTTGTGTTTTCATCTAGTACAATGCCAAAGTGGTGAGAAAAGATACCTGTTTTCTAACTTCAACCGCTATGCCTTTAACCATTATGTCTGATGATTCTAAAGTTATATA